GGCAATTTTTGACAAAAGAAAACTTGGCTTACGCTATGCAATCTTGGGCGGTGATCCGGAAGGGCGTATTCGATTCCGTAGGCCAAAAGTGATGCCTGCATCCCCGTCATGCACTGCGTGACCGTCGGCTTCTCAGCCGAGAAGCCATTTTCTTCGAGCCCTAAAACAGGGAGTGTTATCGTTTCCAGTAAAAGCTTACAAGCTTTGATCATGGCGGGATCCTTGATCGTTCCCTCGTCGGTGAACATCTCGCCGACCGGTAGATTCAGGAAGCCGGGAATGTGGGCGGCGTCGCAGTCTGAAAATATGCGTCTAAATTAAACTCCAAAAACAGCAATCAACAAATCTAAGTTTAGCAGGAAGATAGGTAAAGCACCCTACACATCTGATTAAGTCCGCTTTCCTGCAAACCTTCGAACTGCGCTCGCGGTCGTGAGTCGAGGAAATTAATCTGAAAATCAAAAGCTTTAAAAACGGGGCATAAATAATTACCGACGACGTCTGATCAATGAGCATGTGGCCCCGGTTCCGCTTCTCCCAGTCCTCCATCTCCTTGCTCCACTTTGCCTCCTTCTCCTTTTGCTCTGCCTCCGGATCCGTGGGCTCGATGTCGGGCACGGGCTTGGGCTAAAGAGAAATAAGTGAAACAGTAAGTAAGCAACTTCGTAATTTCCATTCACAGACTCGAGTTCTTCGAAGGTGATGAGCGTCTCCTTGAAGTGGTCACCGGCTTTCCAGTTGCCTTTCTAACAACCCAGTTTCTCTCAAACTAAAATTAATACCGGTAATTTTGGAACTTCTTGAGTGATCTCGAAACCGCGATTAGCCCAATCTTCCAGACCGCCATCGAGCAACGAGACTTCTTGATGACCGTAGGACTAAAAAAAAGGGTGACACCTCCTTATAGAAATACCTTGAACAGCCAAGCAAATCGAGCCGGCCACATCATTCCGTGATAGGCCCCTCGACCGTACAGGATCAAATGCTCACCGCGGTTCACGCCGAGTAATTCGATATACTGCTGAAACAAAATTTGAACTTTTACCACTTCCAACATAAAACAACCTCAAAAACCTCGGGCGGATACTGTGAAAAGCGCTCGTACTGGCCCGGATACATGGCCAAATCCAGGTCAGCGTGAACAGCCTCGGGGATATGACCAGCCAAGTACATTTCACGGCCACTGGAAAGAAGCTTGCGAAGGTGTGACATTAATACCGTGTTTTGGCCTGGGCCAATTTGTCGAACTTCCCATATTGCTCGAGGCGAAACTTTTTCCAGTCGGGCTTGACGCCGGGCACGAAACTGCAGTCGAGAAGCCGAACGCCTTCCTAGATTACCATTTGTGCGTAAAAACGTTGAGTTACTTTGTTGATGATTCCTTTTTGCAACAGCTCACGGACAGTCTGCGAGCCGACAAATTTTCCAAGGGCGCTCATGGCTAAAAAAAAGCTTGATCATGGCTCTGAATCCTCAAAGTGAAAAATCTATCATAGCTTCCGTAAGCTTCCAAACTTTTATCAAATTTCATGTCATGTTCGTATTCAGAATAGCAACTGTTTTCTTCAAAGGTAATAGACAGTAAAATCAATAACATTTATTCGAGACCAAAATGACACCGTGACTAAAAATCAAAAAATTCCGCAACGTAAATCGAACAAAACAAGGCAGTCAATGTAACAATCAGCTCGTGTCCATCGACTCGGTCTTCACCTCGGGCAGCTGGGGGCCAGATACTTGCTGAAAACGGCATGACAAAATTTTACCATATTTTCCAACCTGTTGTTGTCTTAGGGCGGCGATGAGATCGGCCTTGATGTCGTCTTCATCAGAATTCTCATCCTCTCCCATACGCTCTTCACGGGTCTTGGTTCGGTTGAGCTTCCAGATCTAAAAAATCCCTTTTTATTTAGTCGAGTCTGGAGACAACAGACCTGAATATACGACTCGGCCAGCGTGATCATCTGCGGCAGAATGTCCTTGACGTGCAGGTCTTCCATCTCGAACCATTTACCGGTGCCCTAAAAAGTTAATGAATAAAAACTGAATTGAATTACCTTGTGATGAATTTGGACCCGATTACGCCCCTCCGACTCCTCGGCATCCTTCTTCTTTTGCTGTGAATTAGCCCCGACCGGTTTCCCGTCGTGCACAATGTTGGCAACCAGATCGTAGGTGGTGTACTTGTGCTTGGGCTTCGCCTCGTCGGCAAGCGCATCGTAGAGGTCAATGTTACTAAAAACATATTTTGTTTTTTGATTAAAAATCAATACCTGATCGGAAAGTTGACAATCGTCGGGTTCTTTTCGACGAAAAACTGGTTCTTCTTGAAGCGCTGGTAGACGATGATGAGGTAGTTGGGCAGTTCGAGGATTTCGAAGCGCTTGATAAAGTTGTCCTTGTACGTTTTGTATTCCTAAAACAAATAGATGCACCAATCAAAATCAAAATTTTACCTTCTCGGTAGCACCGTTGAACTTGGCGAGCAGCTGCTGCAGTGGGACTTGTGGGATGATATTCTGAAGCACCGCGTCCACGTAAAGGGGTGGCGGCGGCAAATCGAGAGACAGGAAAAGGAATGGCGTCTCTTTGGCCGTTTCTAAATCAGGATTACGTGAAAATTGAGAATTTAATACCATTGTATTCATCAGAATTTGTCACATTCGCAATCATCTCCGAGCTGGCGTCGACCGGAAGCACTTTTCGGGTGTACTGGCGCATTTTTCCGCGGAACGTTCTAAAATTACAGCTATTTCGGAGATTAGCCACGAAACGCACTTGTAGATAATACTCGACGAATTCTTCTGCGTTCCGTTCAACGAGAGATGAAGGGTGTTGAGGAAAAAGCTCATAAAGTCGGCCGCGTCGCCTAAAAATAAGTATTTAGAGCCAGTGATACTTTTCTACCTTGCTTGGTGAACTGGAAGCGCTTCTGTGATGTGACGACGATCGCTTGCAACATTTCGTGCGGGGAAACGTGGGCCTTGAAAGCCTTCGTGTTCCATAGCTTGCGTACGAGTTCACCGAATCTGAAAAGAATTAGCCATCTTCCGCAATTTTTCTTTCAAAGACATTGATTAAAACTTTCTCACAAAAATTACCTTTGCGATAGCAACGCGAGCTTGTCACCCGGTGGCCGCTTGATCTGCGAGTAGTTCTCCTCCTTCAGAAAGTAGTTGCGCAAGGGGGTAACATGGGAGAGCGCCTGACAAATAACCAGTTTCTGCCAAAATTTGAAGTAGCTTACGTGCAAGATCACATTCTCATAATCGTTTGCCTTGATGTTGTTGAGCCCAACGACACCCGGGAAATACGTTGTATTGTCGTAGGCTCGTGCAGGACGTTGCCAACTGAAAAGACAATTTTTCTGTATTTTCGTTAAAACCTACCCATCCAACGCGTTGATGAGCTTGTCGGTGAAGGTGGGCTTCAAGACGTACTAGAAAGATGAATATACGAATACGAAAAAATCTTGTACCTTAATATCTTCCAGCGACGGGTCGATAACCTCGTACATGTCAGGTAGGCAGTAGAACTTGAGGGTCTGCAGATTGAGGAAAATGCGGTGGTCCGTGTCCAACGAGTGAGTGTAGGCATATGTGCTGGTACCGCGCCCCTGAAAATCAATATTTTTTACTTTATCAAAAATATACCTGGAAGTATTTTCCGCAAACCATGCAGGCGTAGACGTTGAGGTGAGACAGGGAGACGGAACACAACTTTTCGAAGTCGAAGTCAAGCCTGTTTCTGGAAAAATACAAACCCTGATATTAAGCCTTTAATAAATGTTCAAAACAGATTGATCAAAAAGCTTACCGGTCAATCGTATCCAAATAAGGACACTGCCGGCTGCTCGTCTCGGCCTGGGCCCTGGTCAGCGACCAAACCGGACGGCCCTCCTCATCTTTGTTATCCTCTTCCTTCGCCATTTCTTCTTCATACTGCCGCAGACGCTCCAAATCGCGTGCCGTCGGAGCCTTCTTCACCGGTGCCGCTGGCTCTTCCTCCTTCTTCGTAGACTTTCTACGCCCTTTATCATCTTTCCCTAAATCCACGTTTCCAAGCATATTTATTTTTCTTACGATCTTTATCGCGTCGCTTCCGGTCATCTTCCTTCCTGCTGTCTCTTCGCCGATCCTTGTCCTTATCATCACTTCTCCGACGGTCACGCTCGCGATCTCTAAAAATCATTACGAAAATTCTTTTCCGGGCCTACCTGTCGCGATCCTTGCGTTCATCCCTCGTATCCTTTTCCCGATGGTGGCGATCCTTTTCTTTTTCTCTTTCCTTATCTTTTCTTACATCCTTCGACTTTTCTAAACTCAAAATCATTTGCAAAAACTACAAGCAAATACCATCAGTCTTTTCTTTCTTGCGCGTCGCCTCCTCTTTCTTCACGCCTTCATCGCCTTTCCCATTCTCCTTGTCCTCCTTCTTTGCTCGTTTTGCTACCGGGGAGGGTGATTTTTCTAAAAAACAAGTAAAAAAACAAGAAAAAAAGAAATTACCAATCTCTCGATGATCTCGTTTCTTCGCCTCGTGCTTTTCGGGTTCTTCCTTTGGCTGTTCGGCAAGGACTTCGGCTTCATCTTTTTCAGCGGCCATCCGAACTAAAATTTTGTTTTTTGAGGAAGTGAAGATTTATTTTTTAGAAGATTTACGAGGGGTTTTGATTTCGGGGCAATATTTCCGAACGGGGACCTATCAACGCATGTTATTCAAATAGGGATAGGTGCGAAACGGAGTGCCCTTTTCACGCCGTAAGTGGTCCACAGCCGATTGCGCCAATACAAATTGAAGCTTGTTTAGTGAATTTTACGGAAATTTTCTGTGTATAAGTAATTTTTAGAAAGGTAGAGATCTTCGCAATGCCGATTTGATTTGCTAGATTTTGGGGGTTCCTGTGTTCTGACAGGTTTTCAAACATTATTGTGGCGTTTCTGGATGCCCTAGCTAGATCTTCTGAGAATTTCTAATAGTTATATTTTAGATAGCCCACGATGCAGGCCGAGCCAGCTGAGGAAGACGGAGTACGTAGCGTGTTCACTGCAATCTTAATTATTTTTTTTAGCAAAGTGGGAGTCGCTATCCAAGGCGCGAACGGAAGCAGGCCAAAAAGCTCGTAATCGAGGAGGTCGTCAGGAGAAAGCGGCCGGTTCGCCCTCCATCTCCCGTGATTCAATTCCTGCCGATCGAACGTCCCGACTGGCTCCGCGGAATTTTGGCGAACAAGAACAAAAGTAACATTTTCATTTGAAAATTAATAATTGGTGCTTACAGTTAGGGGCGACCGTGGCGTACGCTTCATCGAGACGGCGCGATATCGGCTGATCCCTAGAAGGTCTGATGCGGTGCCCGGGATGGTTGCTGTATCCGATGGTGACGATACGATGCTGATGCCGCTCGTGCTCCCCGATCAAATAGACCCAGTCTATGCGGAAAAAGACCCGGACGGCGTAGAGACTGGGGATGGCTGCTTTTTACTCGAATTTTCGGTTTGTCACCATTAGAAATTTATATATTTAAACTTAGGCATTGATTCAAAAAGGCCCCGAACCGGCGCTCGAAAATCCCGCTGAAGAGGAGGAACAAGGAGAATTGGTAGAAACTGATGAGCCTCTACCTGGCAGCCCGGAACCTATCGAGCCTCCACTGCCTGAGCGCGTGGCGAGAAGGCGCAGAACTGGCGTTTTCGAAGTCCCAGTGATAACAAGGTAGAGTTTCGGGAATTTAATTAATTTTTATTATTCTTTTCAGCCCGGAAGCTGATGTGAGCACAGAATCGGAGCCCATGCCGACGCCTGAACCTACGGTCGAAGCAGATTGTACTACAGAACCCCCTACTCAAGGCGAAGTGACGACCGAGGCTTCATCCCCAAGACCGCAGAGCGTCAGTCCCGGAATTGAACGACGCCCAACCTCCCGAAGCTCGCGCTATTTTCTTCGGGCGACGGCAGCTGTTGGATGTAAACATAATTTTTTGTTTTTTAGTATTATTGTTTAGATGCCTGTTCCACCTTCCCCGCCGGTCTGCGTATCCCGGCATGATCCTAACGTCTTGGGTTCTGGCCGTCGCCCGTCCCCAGTTGATGCTCAAGATGAGCAGAAGGTAAGCTCCGTTGTTAAAAAAGTGACGTATTTCGTTCAGTTACGTGAATTCGAGCCGGCCCCAATTGTGCGGACACGCGGGAGGCGTTCGATGTATTTGCCCATTCCTTGCCAAGATCTGGGAGCTGGCAGTTCAACCGAAAATACGACTGCCGCGGAAACGATCCGGCCATCATCACCAAAAGCAGTAGAGCCACTGCATGGATCCGAGGTGCGCTATACAAACAACTTTTCATTGTTTTTTCTAGCCACAACCGGAAGCACCGGCGCCCATCGTGACGAAAAGCCGCACTCGCCGCTCCATGTATCTGCCGACTCCCATTGATCTCGATGGTGGCAATGCGCTGAAACGTGCCTCGCCCGAACAGGTTGTATAACATCGAAGTTTAATGGAATTATGTCTTTCTAGGAACAAGAGAACCAGCCGATACCGACCGTCTTCAAAAGCCGCTCGCGCCGTTCGATGTACCTGCCTCCTGTGGCCATTGAAGAACCAGACATCCCTGCCATTTCTCGCCTCGAGGTGGCTGAGAACGCTGAGAATACCCCTGAACAGCCTGTCGTACCCGAACAAACTGAAGCTCCAACCGATCAACAGGTTTGGGACAGAATTAATTTGATGCATTGATTTCAATTCCAGGAGTACAAGGCGGAAATGCTGGCACGCAAGAATCGCCCGCGCCGTTCGATGTACGTGGCCCCAGAAGCGCCCATCGACGTCCAGCCGTTGCCCGAAAAACGCCGACGTCGCCGCTCATCATACTTCCATCCGGTTCCGAATTCATGAATTTATATTTTGCTTTGAAGGCTTGATCTCTGCTTTTTTGCAACTTATTGAGCGCTCTAACATCCTTGTGTGAATATCGTATAAACATTTTTAACTTTTCATGGTGGGCAATTGCGGTAAAAAATCAAGTGAACGATGAATTCTTTAGTTTTAGTTTAGAATTCTCAAGTTAGAATATGCTTTCTGAATTTGTTTGTTGGGATCGGCTGCGGGACAAATGCCCTGACGGTCGACTCCTCTTGAAAGATGGCGGCCGACGAGAACATCCAGGATCTTCTTGAAGAAGTTCATGCCATCTCCGAGCAGGGGCATGTTTTTAATAACTGGAAGTGCTGAAAACTACAGTATACAGCTGAGGTGTGTAAAATTTGAGGTAACTTTTTAATTTAGCGAATTCCGCCTCCACATCAACCAAGTGCCGCTCGACATGGACGACTACGCGCGCGTCCGCTGGATCCTGCTAGCCTGGCAGCGTGAAACGGTGGAAGTGAGCAAGAAGTTTTATTTGAAAAGCAACTATATAAAATAGTAGCCTAATAAAATAAATTACAAAAGGCAACCCATTCGCCTTACAGGACGCACTCGCCCAGTCGATGGACGACGACTCCGGCGTGGAAGAGGGCGATTCCGATGTATCGTACTACGACAACGACGAATATTACGATGACGGCCTCTACGAAGATTTCGATTGGTACGACGCGTATGTCCGGGATTACGACGTTCGCTAGCAGCTTGGTCGCGTACTCATCGTTTTTCTTGCTGCCACTTTGTCTCGCCTGGCCTCACAGTTGTGATTTTAATTGTGTGACCAGAATAAATGTTGTGCAGAATTGAACTTTAGAAATTTGAATCCCAACTAGAGCCCGAAAAAAGGCGGTGAAACCCACATTTCGCCGCTCCTTGCGCTCGGGGTAGTGAAGAAATGACGGTGACGTCGCCGATGTCGCTGGAAGAACTTGTTGCCGTGGTCAACGCCAGACTGGAGGAACTGTAGGTGCTTTAGCTTAAGTACAGTTTACCCTGCAGCCCCCCAGCCGACCCCCAACTGCCGTATCTTGGCACCCTGTTCATCTGCAGGTGTGTAAAGTATACCAAAATACTCGCCAAAGCAAGACGAACATCTTGGCATGCTTTATACACCTGTAGATGAACAGGGAGCCGAGATACCAAAGTTGGGTTTTCCCACCTGCCAACCCCCCGCTAACGTCCAGAACCCCAAAAATAACAAAATCCACCTTGTATAACTTAGGGATCTCGGGATCGTCATCGAGCTCGATGCTGACATCAATGAAGCCATCAACGCTGATCAACGGGAGCGCACTTTTGCATTGGTGCAGCTAATCTTGGACGAGTATTTGGTGGTGGGTGATCGGGCAGGTCTGGCTATCTGGATATTTCAAAAGTTCGTAACGGAGAATGTTTGTTTGTTAAACAGTGACAAAACAAGGAAAGTATTAGCCAATCGTTTAGAAATAAAAGATTCTGAGCTTAGGGTGACGTGGCGGCTCGCCTGGACCTGTTGGCGGCACAGCGCGACGGAAGCGGCGCTCGTGTGGTCGAAAACGATCAGTAGAAGCAAGCCTACGAAGATGGGCCGACGCCAAGAAATTATCGCCCATAATACACCGTGTTTTTATGTGTTTCGATGAATCGTGGAATAAAGATTTCTAGGAATATACAGTACTGTATCCAGGGGCGTAGCCAGGATAGGAAGAAAACGGGCGACGACGATGATGCGTGAGAATGAGGGGAGAAGATGCAGCCGCGAGCCCCGTCTACAGCCCTAACCAGCTCGGGACGTGCCGCCCTATTGCATAGAGAAAATTTGCTGGTCCGAGTGATTGGCTTCACCGCTTTTTCGAACGCGGATCTGTGATTTGTACACCTGTGGAATCAATGTTTTTCCGCAATCACGTCTCGTGTAGAACGCATCCTGAATATCTTATGGTTTTTTTCCAGGACCGTCTCGCCCGCTCTCTCACTCTCTCTCTCTCTCTCTCTCTCTCTCTCTCTCTCTCTCTCTCTCTCTCTCTCTGAAAAAAGGCAGTGGTTCATAGTTTCGGACTCGATCGCAAAACTAAAAAAAAACGAAAAACGGCTACCAACATCGCAAATAGGCTGTATTTCGGTGCTAGGAATTTTGCTCATTTGATCTCTGTGGTTTGTAAAGTAAAGGAGTCTCATGTTTTGTTTTACAATATTTTCCTTAGAACATTCGCCGGCATATAGTTTTATGGATCCCTATCGCTGATAAAAATTTTTCTAGGATACCCTGTATTAACATTAAGAGTTCAACAGCCTGTCATAGGGGCCTCTACATGGAACCGATGGATGACATGGACGAAACGGACCCTGAGATTGTCGAGGAGCGCCTTAGAGTCCTCACCGGCTTTCTGCGAGCTGCGCAGCAGCACCATGACAAAGTTTTCGTAGGGTTTCGACGCAAATATGGTATAGAAAATTAAGGCCCGGATGCCGGCCCCCTCATCCACGACGAGGACGACCAGGAGGAGCAGATGACCGCCGCGCTGGACGCGGGGCGACGTGTTCAGCGCGAGCTCTGACGGTGTGCAGACCGAGCGCCACGACTATGTAGCAGCTCTGGATAGCAAATGGGTCGAGCGAATAATTAGCATAAATTTTTTCATTCCTTTCCTAAGCGACGATGCAAAAGATACGTACAAAATTCTGGCACGAGATGGCTACCCGGCAGCTTCTCGACCAGGTCAACGAGTTGCTGGAGCGCTGGTAGGGGCTTTTGAATCTCACGCTCTCTCTCTCTCTCTCTCTCTCTCTCTCTCTCTCTATCTCTCTCTCTTTCACTTGACTTAACGATGCAATTAAAAAGTTCAGCGACTCCCCCATCCGTTTCGAGCCGTCCGCCGACGTGGTAGTCCCAAATGACCGTCTCGGCAGAAGATATTTGGGGCACATCAAATCTGGGCTCCAGGAGGTAGGCTACCTCTATAAAACGGTTTTTTATTAAAACTGTATAAATGCTTTGACTTAGGAAGTAAACTAAGTATATTTAGGATCATTCGTGAGGTATGCAAACCTATTTTAGGCCCTGTCCGCCGGTCTGCCGCCGCCTCATCTCCGGCCCGTCTGGGTGACACGTTTCTTGCTGCGCGGCCTGGAGGCCATGGTTAGTACCTCGGGATTCTTCGTAAACCAGGTCCCCCCCCCGAAACGCCCCCCCCCCCGCTAACAATCCAGAGCCTGGGTAGAGTGCACAGTTTACCCCCCCCCCCCCCCCCCCCGCCGCCATTCAACTTTTGTATCTCGAAACTCTGTTCATCTACAGGTGTGTAAAATATACCAAAATGTTCGTCTTGCTCTGGCGAGTATTTTGGTATACTTTACACGCCTGTAGATGAACAGGGAGCCGAAATAAGGTAGGTGGGGGCCGGCTGGGGCGGGGGAGAGTAAACTTCACTTAAGCCTAGAGCCCTTTTCATTAACGCTAGGAGCAATGCTTAAACTTCAGATCAGCCTCGAGCAGATGAACGACGACTCGGGCATCGACGAGGACGATGACGTCATTATTGCTGCCGATAATTAAGCCGAACCGGGTGGAGAAACCACTCGATTTTTTTCTCTCGACCTCTTGCGCTGTATCCGGTGTTTTTTATAATTACTCTGATTCCCTGTGCCTAATAAAAAACTTCGGAATAGGCGCTACACTTTCAAGCCCAACGCAATTGAATTTACACAATTTGCCAAAAATCGAGTTCCGCAACGCGAAATGTTATTTGTGTTGTTATTGTTATTAATGTGTTATTTCCAGAATAAATTGATTTCCAACAAAATATCTTCATTTAGGTTGTACATTAAAAATGACGAAAAATGTCATAATAAAATACCGAAAAATTAATTAATTTTAGCGGGAAAAAACCTCTAAAGAGTTTTTTTATGAGAGTTGTTTTTATTAGAGTTTTCTAGTTTCAACGCGTGCGCAGCTTGGCTTCGTAATTTTGGGTTTTTTGGGTTTTTTTCAAATACCTTACATTTCGTTTTTTTTACCAGGAGGTTCTATCCCCGGCACGCACGAATTTTGAATTCCGAGCCCCTTTAAAACAATGTCATCTATCAGGCATAGCCCTAACCTACAAAGATCCAGATCCTGTCCTCCCTGCAGATAAAACGGGGTGGCACCTAATTGAATTAAATGACAATGTCGGTCCGACCAGTAAGTAAGCCGAGATGCGCTACTCTTAGCGGAAAGGACCGGTCCCCCATGGGAGATGAGCGAGAGGCATCGAGATCCCCTGCGCCTGATCGCACATTACCAGTCTCGCGTGGTCAAACGCGGCTTCTCCCTTCCTATCTGATCATTCCTGTAGAAACACGCGGACTGGATCTGTGTTGAAATCACAATTGTTCCATTCGAATGCTACGGAATTTGTTGTTAAGCGGAATTTTGTTGAATTTATTGGCGACTCAGAATGCTGCTCAATGCTTAGGACAGTTTTATAGAAAAAAACAGGAATTTTTCCCTATAAAATTCTTTGGGGTCGATTTTAAACAATAACCCTTAAAATTTTCGGTTTGAAATATTTACCGTACTGCAAAATAGCTGAAAAACGCGAACTGTAACTTAGAAAAAAGCTTATAAGCAAGCTTCAGGCTCCGGACGTGATGGAGGTTGTCTACCGCTTCAAACAGTTGCCAGCGTGACGTCGGTAAGCCTTACAGTACCCTTTTTCGTGCCTGATAACGATAATTTTGTGGTTCGTAGTTTGTAGTCCGTCGGAAACAATGGAAAGTTGATGCTCCTTAATTGAAAAAATACAAATTGCTACCACTCAAGCGGCCTTTTCAGCCAAAATCCTCGAAAACGCAGGACCATCACAGAGTTCAACGACGTCCAGGTGGCAAGTTACAGATTCTAGTACCCACGTAACGTATTATACCGTTACGCAACGTACGTGACGTCGTCCGTCAGGCACGTACCTTAACGTACCTAACGTAGCATACGTACGTAACGGTCTTAACGTAACGTAGCGTAACAACCTTTATTTTTAGTCCCCACCCAGCCAGACGCGCGTGAAATTGGTGGCCATTTCCTTTCGACCGGCTTCGTGCAAAAGGGTCCAAAACCTCTGCCCGTCGCTTATCCCCTATCAAGGTTACGGTCGTTGCGGCCGTTTGGGGCAAGAAGACGTGATGAATTCGAGGTATGTTCCGTATTAAAGGTATGGAAAAGCACAGTTTTGGCATAATCCGTAAGATTTCTACCTTCACCAGCCCTTTAAGAATATTAAATCAGACGCGGGATAGGCAAATAGTTGTTTTTAGACGAATCGCAATGTTCTACCTCCGCTCGGAGTTGATCTCTTGAATACAGCACCACTCAAACAGGTCCGTTCGTAAAAAGGCATGATCCGGAATATGAGAAATCCTTATCCTAGAGCTGCTTTAGAACCTGCCACCCCAACAAATCCTCATCAACAGCAACAACATCCGGCGCAAGCAGGCCAACCCAGAATGGAGGGTAGGAATTCTGATTTTTTTTTCAATGTAGGTTTTTCTAGGCAGACAAAGACCATGCACTACCTCCATTTAGCCAGCTAAAGTTTGAGCGGGATTATGATGGTTTGAAAAAGGAAACATTTTTCTAAGAGATTTTTAGAATCTGTATCCGGTGATATTGATTCTTCAATATCATCGTCGTCATCAGGGGACAAGGATCTGTACCAGCATGGAATTCGGAATGTTAGGGAGGAGGCGGCGCTGAAGCGAGTAATGATACCAATACCAGGTAGGTCAAAGAGCGCGAGAGGTGGAGAGTGAGAGAGGTGTAGAAAGAGAGAGAGAGAGAAAGAGAGAGAGTTAAAGAGAGAGAGAGCGAGACAGAGAGAGCTAAAGAGCGAGAGAGCGAGAGAGACACAGATACCGGTAGAGGGCTACTTACTACCTTTTAGAAAGCGCCACCATCTTTGCCCCTCCTGCTCCTCCTCCACTCCCTGCCGGCCAAGTCCTACCCGATAACATCCATCAACTCCTCAACGTCACCACCTTACCCAACCCTCCACCTGCGCAAATCAACAAAAATCAAGTCCTTGACGATTCTGACGTCGAGGAGCACGACCTCAAATCCTCTGAGTTCGAGAAAATCGACCCTGATCGTCTACTCCCGATCCGAGAAATGCACACCACCGAAGTCCCCCCGGCCCCACTTACGGACATCGATCTGCTGCATCTGGCGGAAAGTTTGAGCCCGACAATCCAACCGAATTCCGAAGAGCTGTTGAAGATCATCAGGGAGATAAGCCCGGAATCGGTGGTTGATCAGCATGGAAGATCGATTGATATTCTGAAGATTACGCGAAGCCATAGCCCGAATAATCTCAGTCCGACTATCGAAGATTTCGACGATATTTCGGCTGGGGTTTCGAAGCCTGAAAAATCTAAAAAGCAACCTAAAGAAGCAGAAAATAGCATTGAAATGGCGATGGCAGGATTTGGCAAGAAGGACAGTAACGAGATCGAGAATCCGAACGTCGATATTCTAAAGATATCGAAAAACGGACAAGATAGTCCTCCCGAAAAAGAGGAAGTTGCTTTCAGAATCGAAGAAACTGATGCGTTAAAAGTAGTGCAACGGAATAGCCCAAATTCGGAGGACGAGGAGAATATGGCTAATATCTTGAAGGTTGGGATCGGAACAAGCCCCAACGAGGGAAAGCTGGAGAACACGGATATGGTCAGGGTGCAACAAGGGGAGAGCCCGAATAAACGAAATAGGGAGATGGGATCGAAGAAGCGACCAGATTCCGAGCACGTGAAGCATGAAAAGCAAAAAATTGAACTAGAATCGAGTGAAGACGAAGCCAATGAAGTTGATATTCTGAAGGTCAGACGTGGAAAAAGCCCAACTAAAAATCGAACCGAAGAGAATGAAGCTGAACAACAGGGAAGTGATTCTGAGGAAAAGGAGAAACCAGAAAAGCCAAAACGTTCAAGAAAGGAATTTAGCAAATATAAACCCGAGCCAGAAAACAACGCTGATTTTTTGAAGGTGTCTAGAGGAAATAGCCCAAATCGCGAAAAAGCGGCCCATGGAGCCGCTAATGAGGATGAAGAAACCGATGCGTTTGAAGCGGGAAAACGTGAAGGTGAAAGCGAGGAACAACCCACCGATAAGAAGAACGAACCGGAAAACGAAACAGACATTCTGAAGGTTTCCAAAGTCAGAAGCCATAGCGAAAGTCCTGAAAATGTAGATGATCGATCAGGGCCAAAGGTAACCAAAAAACGAAAAATCTTGAAGATTAGAAAGTTGACAACGCCGAATTCTGGAGAACGCACGGAGGCAGAAAAAGAAGAACCAGACGCGAAACCTAAAGTTAGAAAAAACAGGCGGGAACGACTGACCTCGGCATCAGAGGAAAGCGAAGAGTCAGAAGAACCTCAATCAAATGAGAATGAGCAGCAGCAACCTGCGCAAAATAAAGCTAAGATCTTAAGGGTAATGCAAAGGGATTCGCCGAAAAAGCCTAAAAAATCTGGGCACAAGCACGAAGCCGAAAGACAGTTGGAACCGGACGTTGAAGAAGATGAAGCGGAACAAAGGAGAAGACAAAAGCATAGCAAAATTCAGAAGGCAATAAATCGACGAGCTGACGGTGATTCTGAAGAATTGACAAAACATGAGAAGCCAGAGGTAATGAAAATTCGGAAAGGAACAACTCCAAATTTGAGAGAGACCTCAGTCGAAATTGATCAGTTCGAGGATTCTGAAATTTCGGCAAAAGCTCAACGAAGCCCGGAAAGCCATGAAATAGCAAACCAGGACCCCGACTTCCCGGCGGTCGATATTCTGAAAGTGTCGCAAGCTGTCAGCCCGAATCGAAAATCCAAGAAAGCGTGGATTCAAAGGGTCCAGCATATCGCGAAAGGTACGAGCCCGAATCATGCCGATCACGGGGATCTGGATTTTGATGCCGAGGAGGAGGAGGAGGAGGTAGGCTTTTGGAATTTAATAAAATTATACTTTTACACATTCAGGACCGCCCTTCCACCCCCAGAAAACGCGCCGGCTTCGAGTTCGAGAATTATGGGGATGAGGATGAGGAGGAAAAGCCCAAAGAAGAGTCGAAAAAGAAAGAGAAAAACTCGAAGAAATCTAAAAAAGGCAAACACGAGGAGGAAGAGCAGGAGGACGGGGAACCAAGAAAACATCGGAAGGAGGATGGCCATAAAGACGAGAACGAAAAGAAGAGCAAAGAGGAGAACACGGAATCTAAGTCTGATGTAGGTTCAGCGTCGTTTTCGTAACTTAAAAATCTTAGATTCGAAACAAAAATATTGCTAGTAAAGCGGCTCTGAAAGACGCGCCAAATGTGAAATATTACTATCCGCCAAAAACGCATCTTCCATTGCCGGTCTGCTTCTACAATCCTACCGGTAAGCTGGGAAACCTGGGCGCATTTGTGATTACGGTTCGGCCAGATTTTTAGTAGATTAGTATATTTGGTTTAAAGTAGCTTTGCGTACCTTATCGTAGCGTAGCCTATCGTGGCGTATCTTAGCGTAGCGCAACATAACTTATCCTGGCGGACCGTGTAGAGTATCGTTTCGTAACGTGTCTTTGCACAGCGGATCGAAGCGTAGCTTTATGCAGCGTATCGTGACCTATCTTTGCTTAGCGTAACGTATGGTAGCGTAATTTTGCGTAGCGTCCGGTAACGTAGCATACCATAACCCAGCTCTTCGTTGCGTAGCGAGGGCTCCGTTCGGCGCCGCTCCGTAACCTAGCGTAGCACAGTGTATCTTTGCTTAGCTCACAACAACTTACTGTAAAGTGTTTTTACTCAACTTGGAGTTTCGATTCGGGACCAAGTGCATCTTGTACAGAATTTTTCGCTGATTCCGAATATGTTTTTCAAATTTGCTACGGACCGTTATTCTGAAAGTTATACGGCAATTATGACCCTAGTTTTCCCCAAAATGAAGGTATCGTTATAGTTTTCGATTTTCTTCATTAATTTCAACGTCAAAATTGACTAGACGTTGGCTCGACAAGCATCCTACAGCTCAAAACAAGCATTTTAGATAAAAAATTAAATTTTTATGCAAAAAGCAAAAGAAATGATGCAGGGCGGGGGTTCGAACCGTCGCCCTGAGCCTGGCAAGCGAGTACTTTGCCAATGCACCATGGTGCCAACTGGGAAGGGTGCTGTCAGAGGGTACTTCACGGCCCCTGGGCACCCTAGCCCCAAACAAGGAATAGTGGGCCAGTGTCTGGATTTTTGGCATTTTTCGGCCTAATTGTTACCAAAAATGATTTTTTAGATAAAAGTCCGTAGCAAATTTGGAAAACATATTCGGAATCAGCGAAAAATTCTGCACAAGATGCGCTTGGTCCTGAATCGAAACTCCAAGTTGAGTAAAAACACTTTACAGTTAGCATATCGTAGCGTAGCTAACCATGGCTGCATCGTGCATAGCGCTTAATTCGATATTTTTTCAATATTCTTACTACAACTTAATTTCAGGCTACGCATGCTGTAACGTCAAGCTTAACAACCTGATCGAAAACACGTACAGCGAAATTAAAGCATCACCAAAATACAACGCCTGCAACATCCAGATCATCGCCAACAAGATCCAGGAGGCGGCTCAGAACGAGTTTTCGGTAAGTAAATTTAAAAGTAAATTTTTTTGTCTTCAGCACCCGTTCGAGACCGTTGCTGCACTTGGGGACTTTGCGCAAAACGTGCATTTCGCCGGGGATTTGGTCTGTAAAGTGGAGATCGATGGAAAGTAAGTGAAAAGATCAAGCTCTCTCTCTCTCTCTTCTCTCTCTCTCTCTCTCTCTCTCTCTCTCTCTCTGAAGCTATCTTTTAGATACATGCTCGCCTATGGTAGCCCGTACAAAGCTGATATGGCCCATAACGCCACGGGACCGATGATGCAACGGCTCGCGCTCTTTTCGTTGAGAATCTGATTTCCTGTATTGTTATTTTTATTTAATAAGCCACTTATAATACCCTCAATATTTCCGAAAGATGCCGGTCTCATAATAAAGTGTTGAATTTCGCGTATTAATTTGAACAAATCCTTCGATTCGGTTCGTTTTTGAACGGAAAATGACCTCTCATACTCTCTCGCTCGCTCTCTCGCTCGCTCTGTCTCCCTCTCTCTCCCTTTCTCTGCCTCTCTCTCTCTGTCCCTCTATGTCTTTCCCACTCCCTCAAGCTCATCTATCTCTTCTCAATCTCTCTGGCTCTGATCTCTAACCATTTTTCTGAGAAAGCCACCAACGTCACCGAGTTGGAGCAGTCTTCGGTCGGACAACCAGATACAAGCAGGCCCGTAGCGGAACCGAAATTTCGGGGGCCAAAAAATTTGGCGACCTCCCCCCGGTCGCCACTTTTTAAAAAACCGAAAATCGCGTCAGTAATAGCGCCGCAGGCAAAAAAAAATCGCAAAAGGCGTTCGCTACACTCAAATTCGTGCGAAAACAAGGCAGAAAACGCGCCGCAGGCGAAAATTTTCTATGAACAATTGAGTCACCAATGAAAAACCAGCGCCGCAGGCAAAAAAATTTGAAAAAATAGGCTTCAAAGAAGCAAAAACTGTTTGAAAAACAGTAATAAACAGCGCCGCAGGCAGAAAAATTTTTGTAACTAAAAATCATAAGGGTCCCCCCTTATGAATTTTTCAGACCTCGACCGATTTCGGGGGGGGGGCCCCCCTCCTACGGGCCTGGATACAAGTATGATCAAATTTGCACTGGACAATCAGCACCTGGCCATCGTCTCTCTTGATGCGAAACCAGGTGTCCTTCTCCTTCTCCACATAGTGCCTGGGGTATTGATGAAGAAATGGCGTCTTCGGCCAACCACAAGTCTGTGGGGTGTTGGTGAGGCCCAGCCGATGGAGCAGCAGGTCACCGATCAGCCACTCTTCGATCAGGACTTGTGCGTAGACCTCCAAGTCCACTGTACGGTCCCGTACGCACAAGCACCTCGGTCGCAGTTCCGGCCCGTTCGAAGTGTTACCGTTGAAAGCCGTTATCCGGAGTGCACCTGGCATGACGGCTAAATAGAGGTTTTGACCCAGCAGTGCCCCCAGGAGAGTGCAAATGGGCACCTGGACATTGGGGTGGGAGGACCGTGTCTTGATCCACCGCTCCACCGGAAATCGACACGGGAGGACACGGATGATGGCAGCAACCTGGTGAACCAGGTTCTCAAAAGATTCCCGTCTCATAATTAATTTGTTAAATTTTGCTTAGTAATTTTAACAATATTTTTATTCACAGGCCACCTGTCCGGGTATTTTTCATTGAAAAACGACGTCGTCAGCTGCGTCTCGTATCCTGAAAACGTTTGAAGCCTTTTAAGAAGACGGGGAAAGCCCAAATATGGTTCCGTATGGGTTATATCTGATTCGCGGTTCTTTAAAGCCATATTAAATTATTCCTCCAAAGAAACAATTTCAGAAAGCCACGCGAGTTTGGTGGTTACCATCCGTTTGACCTCCGCCATCACTTCTGCCTGCTCTTTGGCACATGTTTCTTCAACCGGCGAGCCCTGCGTGATCTCGTTGTGGATTTCTTAGGAAAATCAGAATTCCAAGGAACTATAAACTCACGAAGAGCGCATGACTTCATATACGGCATCCGAGCTGAGGTAATATCATAGCCGAATGTGTCGAAACCGGGAAAATAGCGCGAATGTCGAAAAACAGCCGCTCAACCCGCTTTGCAAAGCTTATTTTTGTATGTGCCATGACTTTTTTATATTACACTAATTTGAGCTAAAACAACAACTCTTAGTATATTTTTGATGCTCTATCAAATGTCGTTGCAAAAATTCCGAGAAAATAACGAAAACATCCAAAAAGGCCTGCCTGTCCCGTCCCCCCCCACCCCCGCATAACCGACATATACCTCCGGCCGAGTTCAGCAGCGGAATCTGAAGCTTTTCGAAAAGGGCGCCTAAATTGAAAACTTAGGGCTTGTGAAATCGATCTTTGTTGATGATTTTTGCGCCTTGCAACATCGATATCGATAAAACCGATAAAATTCAATGGAAAACATAACAAACACTTTATCCCGCAACAAAGTACCAAAAACAATTAAACTTTTCCCGTCAAATCGACGACGCTGCGTTGGAGCCTAAATTTAAGCTATGATTTTTAAGGCAACCGCAAGCCAGAAGGGAAAAAAAAAACAGGAAACATACGCAAATTTCGCTTCTATAATCCTTTTCGCGTCGTTCATCAGAGATGCCTTGTCATCCGCGCACGTCTCGTCGGCCGCCACGTTGTTCGCCACCTCGTTCATGATTTCTAAACGGTACTTTAAGTATACTCTCAGTACCTTCCACTCACGCTGCGAGCAGGAGTCCATGTAGCTGAAGCGGTAAACCGTAAATTCGTATCCAAGCTCCCCGTTAAATCGGGGTGACGTTTTGGCCATGGCTATCCACGGTGCGGAGGCTTTTATCTGAAATCCAGATTTTTAAGGGGAATATTAACACTGTAAAATACAAATTAGCTGCCTAGCGCTAAGTTTTACGATAAAAAGTTGTCACAAACGCGAAATAGCGACAGACAAAATGCCGACAAGCTACGAAAAAAGGTGAAAAACTTTTTTCGCGTCGGTATTTCAGGTTTTTGAATTTCGAATGTCGGCATTTTAGAGTATGACTTCCAATTACTGAATTATATTACCAAAAACCCACATTCGAGTCCTGCAAGTAAATATACTGCAACTGAGTCAAATTGTAGAGAAAAGTTTCCGGCATCCAGACATCCGCTAAAATACCTCTATTAGCGTAGCTTAAAAAACATAGGTTCGTTTTAAAGGCATAAAAAGTTATAAAATCACCAGTAAAATTGATGCCACTAGCTCGCATTAAATTCAACGAAGCCAGCTTTTCCAGGCCGACCCCGTCGAGCGACGCCAAATTTACCCCGTGTAGGTTTAGTGACTGAAAAAGCGTGATTCAGAAGAATTGACGGTTTTGAATCGACCAATTAGAAAAATTCAATAAATTACCATCAAATTTGGGAACCTGGCAAAATAATCGGCATCGAAGTTTAGCCGTTTTTGTTCAGGCAATTCAAGGCTCAATAATTTCTCTGGGTTGGGTAGGGTGGCTGCCGAGAAGTTGGTCAATTTCTGAAAGCAAATGATGATATATCAAAAGTTTAAAAGCGCCACCCCATCATTAACATCATAGTCTCGACAGGTGAAAGTGCGACCGGCACGATTGACGTAGTAATCCATACTTAACGGACCTAACGCTGCGTACGGGTAGTAGGTTTGTCTAAATTGTCGTGCTAAGTTACCGCATTCTAATAATTATGGGGGTACAGATTTGGTATAGTAAACCGTGTTAGAGTATAAAACGTACTGCCCGAAGTCGAGGTGCTTCAAGTTGGTCAACGGGCGCATGGCTGCTTGGCTGATATAGGGGAGCGGGTTGTTGCGTAGGGTCAGGAACTGGATTTCTGAACAATAGATAACTTAAGGGTAGGTTCAAGTTTAAGCCTAAGCCGAAGCCTAAGCCTAAGCCTAAACCTAAGCCCAAGCCTAAGCCTAAGCCTAAACCTAAAATTAAGTCTAAGACTATGCCTAACCTAAGCCCAAGCCAAACCTAAGCCCAAGCCTAAACCTAAGCCTAAGCCTAAGCCTAAACCTAAACCTAAGCCCAAGCCTAAGCCTAAACCTAAGCCTAAGCTAAGCCTAAACATACCCACCCGTCAAATTCTCGAACACATTATCCGGATACTCGGTGATCATATTGCAGTTAAGATCCAGTGTAATCAACTTCGGCGAGTTCAGCCGTGGAAATGTTTTGATGTTAGTTCTGAAAAGATGGGTTTTAAAGTCCACCAGTCGCCCCACCTGGTGAGCATCAGATGCTCGAGCTCCGGCAAATTTTCAATATTCTCCAAGCCACCAATTGTCTTTCCGTTCCGACTATCAACCTGGAGGTACTGTAGCTGGTGGGCATCTTTTACCCAGGAGGGGATTTCCGCGAGGTCAACGGCAAAGAGACGTAGGGCCTGAAAATATAAAAATCAAGGTATTTTTTTATTATTTTATACCTTTAATTGAGAGACATTAAAGGTTGTATTGGCCGGTAGATCATTGAGGCCAAAATTGGTGCCGATGCTGATCTAAAACAGAAAAGGTCATTTCGAGAGACAGCGCAAGAGAGAGGGCGAGAGAGAGAGAAAGCGAGAGAGCGAGCGAGCGAGAGAGAGAAAGAGAGAGAACCTACGATTTTCCACGGCCGCGCGCTGAATAGTGGCCACATATACTTTCGTACCTTTGCCGTTCCATCGTTGTCCGCCTCAAAGTATAACTTAAATTGATGATTAGTATAATTCTTTATATGACTCGCCTCATCAATGGTCGGTACGGCGTCGAGAATAGCTGTGACGTTTTGCAGTGTCTTTTTGAAATCGTCGTAGACGTCGTTGACCTAGAATTACGCAAAAATTTTGCTCGCTCTCGCATCTCTCTCTCTCTCTCTCTAATCAAACACATACCAAAATCCCTTTCCATGGAAATCTCTTCAAATACTGCAAGACGGCATCAGGGAAATCGCCAGTAGGGTACAAAATTAAATGCTAAAATTTGTCATAACCAGCTTTATAAAATTTACCTGATTCGGGGCCGTCTCACTTATCGGGAATCGCAAATCCCCGCATGGCATTGCGCTCGTGAATTGGCTTACAAGTGTGTTCGTCCAAATCATCGGTGGTCTTCGGGTTCCGCATACTACACTGCCTGAACAGGTCTCTCTCTCTTCTCTCTCTATCTCTCTCTCCCCCTCTCTCTCTATCCCTCTCCCGTCGCTCCTACTTACCGCCAGTTCTCATCAAATGTCGGCAACTTTGTGCGCAGTGGGCTTTCATAAAGTCTCCAGCTTTGTAAATACCGCCCCGTAGAAGTGGAGACCTATGTTATTCCTACGTTAGTAAAGTATTAACACCAAGACTACGATACCGATGCCGGGCGATGATATCAGGGCATATATACAGCGACGTCTCGCGGTTTCGATCGAGAACGCCGTAGGGTAGCTCGGCGGCTTCATCGCGGAACCTATCAGGTTGGAAGGTAAGTCCTGTCGCCGAGATTTCGAAGAGCTGCCTAAAATTGCAGCTAGCATCATTTTTGACATGCGATATGTCATTTGGTAGCCCTCGACCTAAATTTCTTCCGGAGGAAGGACCTGGGCCATTAAAATGAAGGGGGTCGAGATACAGGCCCGAGAAGTTTTTGGCGAAATTTGGGAAAAGTGTTTTTGCAAGTTATCTCTGCATGGAGCGATTGGCATGCGATACCTTGGGCGCCAATCGATAGATCTCGAGGAGTAGATATCGATGGATGTTGAGATCATCAAAATTGGACACTGGATGGCCGAGATATGGGCCTCTGAAATTTGGCCCATTTCTTAGAACTTTTCTCGAAATCCTATACATTTTATCAAAATCCTCATGTGGTGTTCAAAAATCGAGCGGCAAGTTTTGGCTCGTTCTTGCCTGATGTATGGGAAATCGAGAAAAGTTCTAAGGAATGGGCCAAGTTTCAAGAGGCCCATATCTCGGCCATCCAGTGTCCAATTTTGATGATCTCAACATCCATCGATATCTACTCCTCGAGATCTATCGATTGGCGCTCAAGGTATCGCATGCCAATCGCTCCATGCAGAGATAACTTGCAAAAACACTTTTTCCATATTTCGCCAAAAACTTCTCGGGCCTGTATCTCGACCCCCCTTCATTTTAATGGCCCAGGTCCTTCCTCCGGAAGAAATTTAGGTCGAGGGCTACCAAATGACATAACGCATGTCAAAAATGATGCTAGCTGCAATTTTAGGCAGCTCTTCGAAATCTCGGCGACAGGACTTACCTTCCAACCTGATAGTTGTGGCGTCATAGTTAGGCTTGACCTCCGATTTGCTATCATACCATCGAATTACATCTGATCGAATTGCCTCCCATCGAAATTACGACCCATCGAAATTACGACTCATAGAAATGTGGACAGATCGAATTTTTACATATACAAATTTTGCCAAATCCAATTTTAGTCATCCTTGGCTGAAAAAAGCATTTATCGATCTAAAATTAAATGTTTTAATGAAAATTTGTATAGTTTTCGCGCTTAGAAATAGTTAAAAACGATTTAGAGGCGCATCCGCTATTTATAAAAAATTTAGGCTTGGGCCGAAAACGAATTTGGTTGACAAAAATCGGTATTTCGAGGAGTTGTAATTTCGATGAGGCGTATTTCGATAAGTCGTACTTTCGGTGAGTCGCAATTTCGATGGGATGCTATCCGATCAAATGTGATTCGATGGGATAAAAAAAGCCCATGACTTCCTGGTATACGCTAGCTATTGAAGAGTGGGCTCAATCTCACGACATTAGTCATAAACTTACCCGAGGTAGCTGCCATATTGTATCATGGACTGGACAGCGCATTGGGGATGGGTTAAGGCATCGGCCCGGCCGGGGGTTAGGGTTCTAAAATGGGAAGGGTGCTAAGGTTAGAAATTCCTGTTAAGGATTATGATATTTTTTGAAGGGTTTTTACGCCTTTTTCGGATATCATTGTCGTTTCGCAACTTTTTGCCAGAGGAAATTCAACTTTTTTAAAGGCTGAAATTTCTATTTTCCTATTTTTTTTTCTTAATTTCTCCGTGCAGCAAGCATTTTATGGAAACAAATAGAACCCTATTAAGGAAATTGAAGTTGCCAAAACCCTTATTTTTAAACGGACTTGAAAACTGACGAAGCAACTTTCTAGATTATGGATTTTTGGAAATACCAGGGCCCGCGTCACGCAACGCGCAAGGCAACGCCGCTTCTTCCATATTTCGCTCTTTCACAGATCCCGTAACCATCAAAAACTCACACAACTATCCCCAGAATCCATAGCATGCCGCGCACCGGGAATTGAGGAAAGTAACGTGCCAGACAGTTAGGTAACTCTTCTTCCCGAACGCAGCAAATCAGCCAAGTTATTACAAAAAACCGACAATTTCCTCTGAATGGCCTCAGTCTGGGGCCCAATTTCCGAAGACGTGGCCCGCGGCAAAGGCTAAAACAATGCGATACAGGAATCTGATTTTTTCTGCTACGTTTTGCATGCCATACTGACTGCACCTACCCGCAGGAAACCAGGGGTTTTTGTGAGTCAATTTCCGGGCTCGTATTCAGGTGGGCGTCCGGAACGGGGTTGTAGCGTGATTGTTCGCGAAATTGGTGGAATTTATTTTATTTATTTGATGCAGATGTGAGTCGTAGAATTTAAGAGGCGGTTCCATCTTTAGGCAACGCTCTATTAGTCGTTAGAAGCTACGCTACGATACGCTTGCATGTACGAAGGAGTACTATCACTCTATCAGGTGTAGGTCTTGTCGGTCTTGGCATCATTTTTCAAATAGTTTTTGATTAAACAATTTTTGTGTTTAAATTTCGCCTTTTTAGCCTTTATTCAGGGTTATAAAAAGTCATAAAAAACACAAGTCATAAAAGTCATAAAAATCTTACCATACGAATTGCAAATTCGGAGCCACCGTTTGCAACTGCCACATGCACATTTTTTGACGCAAATAACTTTTAGCTTCTTGAATGAGCTAAAGTTCCGTGCAAATACTCTTCGCGTATCGTAGTTTTACGCTGGGTAGTGTTTTACTGTATAAAAACTTGATTCTCGTGTATCCAAAATTGATAAATTATATTCTTTATTAAAGACAAATAATCGGAATGGGAACTGATAGGAGTCGAGGTGAGATGATATGCACAGGAGACGCAAAACACAAACAGTTAGGGGGGAGAATAGATATGGGCGTGAAGCATATGTATGCCCTGCAAAATGCCTAGAAAACGCGGAGACCGGGGACCCTTTGTACATGTGTGTACTATGTTCAGATCAAGCCCTCGAGCTTGCAGATGCGCTCGGCCTCGCGCTGGCCGGAGAGGTAGGCGCCGGATGTGGTTTGGTAGAGATTCGTATGCGTTGCCTCACCGGCGAAGAGGAGTTGAGGTCTAGAAAGCGAAAAAAATTGTACGGACTTCAAATTGTTTTTACTTTTTTTTTCAAACTTCAACAACTTGGAGGAGCTCAATTTTTCCTGATTTGACTAAAACTCACTTTTTACTCGCCGCATTCGTGACCGGCTCGCCCATGATGGCGTACGGGTCGCCCATAGCGGCAGCTTCCGGCGTGATGAAGGAGTACGAGCCGTGGAAGAGCGGATGCGAATACCAGTCCATTCTAAAAAATGTCCAGAATTTTTCATGCTACAGTAGCTTATCCAGGTTATAAACCAGCTAAAGCCGTGTTTAACCTACCTTTTCAACGACTTCGGCAGGGGTATCGTCTGGTCGACGAGCGATTCCCTTAACCTCTCCGTCACCAGCTCGGCCAGCGCCTGATCATCAACTTGAGAAATTAGCTTGGGGCCGTCGCCAGCCAGCCAGCAGACGAGAAGCTAAAAAATGAGGGTTATATCGATTTAAGGTATTCTACGGAAGTCTCCAAAATTTTGAAAATCAGCCCCCACATTGCTCTCCCATTCCAACGGCTGGAACACGCGCAACGTCTCCTTGATCTTGCTCCGCCGCTCCAGCTCCTTGATTTGTTTCCAGTCCATCGGCTTCACGTTCTCCTTGTTGTCGTTGTAGTTGAAATTGCTTATACTATTATTATTATTCGTTGTTTCCGGGAGGGCGAGGATGGAGCCGACCTGAAATTGGCGTTTTTCATTTAATTTTTAACGTTTTTAATTGAACTACGACGTTTTTTAGGTGTGTTTTAAGAAATTTTACAATTTTCAATTTTTAATTTAAAGTTATAGTGTAACGTGAGAGTCAATAATTTATGAGTGCCTTTAGCCAAAAAGGAAACTAAACTTTAACCAAAACAAGCTTTTACTGACCTCCTCCGGCCACCATTCCGTATCGTATTCGAGGAACACCTTCATCATGTTGCCCATACCTTAAAATAATTGTTAGTTTTACGCTGCTTTCTTGGTTACCTAGGCTATCAATGGCCTGCTGCTTGAGCTTGGGCAGCGGAGGGGTGAAGAGCGAGAACGAGAAGCGCTTCAGATGGCCGATTGGACAGGTGACGATCACGTAGTCGAAGAGTTGGGGCTTACCGCCGGAAGCGATGGTCAGGCGGACCTTTGAGCCTGAATGGGAGCGTTAACTTTGCACCCCCTCTCAATCACCATATCTCTCTCTTTCTCTCTTTCTCTCTCTCTTTCTCACTCTACCTACCTACCTGAATAATCTATATTCTGCACGATCGAGTTGAATCTGATGTTCTTCTCGTCGACGTGAGACTTGATCTCATCAAGAATAGCCTAAAATAGGTATATTTATAAACCTAAATATTTTGATACCTTAAATCCATAAGGCCCCAGCGTAAACGACGCGAACGCGTCCGAGAAGTCGTCCCAACGGTCCAGGTTCAGCACCGCAAGTTGATCAAACGGGGCGCTCCACTCGTTCTCGTAGAACGTCTGGTACATCTTGGCCAGGCGGTCGAAAATTCTGCGCCTGGCAAATCGCTGCTCGTCCTGCTGAAGCCAGCCCTCGTACTCGGCGTAGAACATTTCGGCGACGCTGGGGGTGACCTCACTCTAAAAAGTGGAAAATTGATACGGTAGCTTACTAAAAATAGTGCAAAAATCTTTAATTACAACATGCGCTAGAAAATTCGTACCTTTCCGGCCTCCTCGAACTTGTCGGACAGTGGGGCGGTGAACAATTGGAATTCGGCAATGTCCTTCCTGAAAAGGATTGTTAGACCTATGCTTCGGCTTAGGCTTAGGATTCGGCTTAGGTTTAGGCGTAGGCTTAAGCTTGGGGTTAGGAATAAAAAGAAAAACTGAAAAAAAAACATAAATTTAAGCTTAACTCACTTCGAGATCTCCGAGTTTCCACAAGCATAAATGCAATCATCAGTAAACAGCTCCTCATCGTCCATATATCGATCGACAATCTTCAGATGCGTGGCAATCTCGTACATCGGGTTCATCTTTCCGTTGATGAACTCGGCGCCCATCTGGAGGTAACC